TTTTATTTTTTATCTTTACAATTTTTCTTTAATACACAAAAACTTTCCTTGTGGAATTCTTCTTTTCACGCGATGTTTGTAGATATTAATATGAGTGAATCAAATATAAATGAGAAATTTTTTTTATTATTTATGGACGAGAATAAAAATATAAAAAAAAACAAATTATTTATCTATATAGTATCCTGCTACATTAATATATTTTTGCCAGCGGATAGGCAGTTTGGCGATCCTATTTTCATAAAAAGTAGTAGGTTGTGTCTGCAGTTAAGAGGATCCTAAAGTTTCTTGTTTTACCGATGTTTTACCGAAATCATGTAATTTTTGTACAAATATTTTTTTTCTCTTTCATTGATTCGAAAATTCTTTTCCAGGATTAAAATATATGCATTAATACGAGTCTAAGAAGTGTAGTCTATGCCTCGAACGATCAAAAATTTCAAAATAGATATATTTTTTGCCATTTCTTAGTAAAACATGGTGTCTCAGCTGTAAAGTCGTGACAACATTTGCTTGAAATAAATGCTTTGCTACCCGAATGTATGAAATAGTGATTTCCAGACACGTAGTTATACGAACAAGTTACATCGAGTTCTTAGAATTAGACTTAGACGCTTTATTGAGACGAATTTGTTATACGAAAATTATGACACGAATGTGTGACTGCGTGTATCATAGTTGCGTAAGATATTGTGATATTAATAAAAATATGTGATGTGCAGCGCATGGCGCGACCTCTAATGACTTCGTCGGAGTTCGAATTTTGCTTTAGAATCCTCTTAATTGCGCAAGAATTCCTCTCTACTGGCATCGTCCATAAATCATATTGTCCTCTTAATTCTTCTTTCAGTGTTTCAAACAAATGATAATCGTATGGAAAGATTTATCTCAATGCGATTATCATTTGTTTGAACTGCTAAAAGAATTAAGAGGACGATTCTACAATAGTATAGATGAATTTGTGCGCAATTAACTGCAGACATAACTTATTATTTTTAATGAAAATAGGATCGCTAAACTGCTGGCAAAAATATATTAATATATTAAGGAACTACATAGAAAAATAATTTGTATTTATTTATTTGTATTTATTTGTATTTATTTATATTTTTATTCTCGTCTAATAAATAATAAAAAGAGAATTCTCGTTTATATTTGATCTATCTTCGTATAATGTAAATTCACTTTACCTATTTATATCTTTAATTGTATTATCGGTAGATATTATAATCCTTACATTCTACGACATTTTTATTACTTTATATTATTATTCTGCTATATAACTTTATATTATTATTCTGCTATGTAACTTTATAGTCTTTATGTTATAATAATAATTAGGGATATATATCTGTGATAATAAAAGTTTTCAGAAATTTATATTTATAAATGTCATTTCAATATAAAGTTTTTTTTTTCGGCCGGATATATTGCCAGAACTCAAATATCCGGCAATATTTCCCGGATATCTGATTGTGTTATATGTTATATGTTAGAAATTATTTTTTTTAGAGCTGATTGTTTTATCTTCGGATAAATCATGGATTATATTTTCATCAAGATAAATTATGTAGTAATTAGGTAATTTATCTATAAACAAAAGAGTAAAAGAGAATATAAGAGATTTTAGAGAGTAAGACAGTGAACTCTGAAATTTCTTAAAAGGTGGAACACAATTATAATGATATTATTTTGGAAAATAGAAAATTTGACACTACTATAAAGAAATCCTATTCTTTTATGTTTATCAACACTTGGATTTATACATGTTACATAAAAATCTTTTTATGTACAGAAAAATACAATAGTTATTTCTTTTGGCATCTCTTGACACTTTTGACCAATTTTGTATTATACATATTAGATCGAATGCCATTCATAATGCAAAAGAAACTCTCAAATTTTTGCAAGGAATTCTTATTATAATATATAGTCCACTTGGATCAGGAGAAAGATCTTAGGCTAAGATGAATCAAAATATTGGAAGATGAGCAATTAGTTAAGCGGGCAAAAGTATTAGATACCTGCAAGCAAAACTTATTCGTTATCAAGTTATTAAAATACTAATATCTTGAACGTATGCCTAATACTTTCCGATGAATTAGATGTGTTTAATATAATTGTAAATTATTAAATTTTATTTAAAAATCCGTAAATATTTATAACAATTGATAACTTGATATATTGGTAATATACATTAAAATATTGTATAATGATTATTTGTAGATGGATCGTGGTCATAGTGATTGCTAAATTAATTACTAAAAATAAGTCACATATCGCTCCATATAGAATATAGAAGTATTCGATTTTAAACTTTACCCGAAAATATTACTTATTATATTGGCAGCTTTGATTGCAATGGAAGATTTTGTTCAACAGAATGGTAAGAACTCATTATTACTTTACTGTTATCATATTTATAAAAATACAACATATTTTATATCAAACATATTTAAGATATATGGAATAATAATTGTATTATATTAACGATTTTTTATTTTTAGGTTAAACGCCAATCTCTATATATTATCTGTTTAATATTCCATTTTTATTAAATAAGCAAATCAGATTGTATTATATCTACGTTTCTATTAAACTTTCTGCATTAGAACAATTTTCAAGTTACTATTACTTTAATATATAAATATATAAATAACATATATAAATAATTATTTTTTTGTAATACAAATATGAGGCATTTTTTTACAAATCGAACGGATTTCGTCAAAAGTATAGAGGGTTACACTTTTTATTTGTTTAAAATTTTTTTCACGTATTTCTTATATGAAATAAGCCAATACGGCTCATGCTTATTTTGGCAATTTTTTTTGGTCAATATTTTCGAAAATGCGAAAGGTTAAATTTTTGAATACTTGTTAATTAAATACACTTTTTAAAATCACGATAATTTTACCTTTATTCTTCCTATAAATCTTCCAGATGGGCTTATTTTAAAGATAAAAGAATCTTCATTTATTTATGCATTATTATTATAATTGCTGTTTAATAATGATTATTAAGCAATTAAAATATTTGAAGTCATTTTACTATTTAATAAGGTAATCAAAATAAAAATGCCATTGTATTCTTCGTTAAATTTTCTATAAAAATTATCTTTTTTTTAATGGTCATTTGATATTATCTGTGTAGAAGAAATTAATTTCCGCGATGCGGTGGCAGACGGTGGACAGAGAGCTGGTGGCAATGAGTAGAAGGTAAGCGAAGGTAGATTCGCTGCGTCGTACTGAACCCGTCAGTAAATGTGTTAGAGATTAAAAGAAATTAAAATAGATAATAATTAACTATTACTTGTTATAATTTGATAAAATGATAATCATAATAGAATTGTTAATAATACGATTGATTATGATATATGATTTCAATGATATATAATAATAACAATAATAATAATAATGTGAACAATATGAAATAGAAAAAAAAGTCATAATACAAACACAGATTAATGAAAATAAAAAAAAAATATGTTGATGTTACTTTAAAGAAATGAATAACTAAATTCAAAATCAGCGAATAATGTAAATATATTTATTAACCATATATATGTAAATATTATGAAATAGTAAATATAATGTAATACATAATAAAGTAATGACATATTTCTCTTATTTTAAGTTTATTAATCTTATATTATGACCGCAAACATTTATTTTCTTCATTTTTATATTATTTATATTGTTATCATCATTATTATTATATATTATTACTGAAATATAATCAATTATCATATTATCATATTATTAATAATTTTATGATTGTTATTTTATCGAATTGTAATATATGGACTAAGGCGTCCGCCCTCCGCGCGCCGTTTGTCCGCCGTCATGCTGCAGAAATTAATTTTGGTAATTATGCAATATAAAAACATTCTGAAGGTCACTCATGATATATGACAACATATGTCAAGATCAAGGTGATCTGGGCGGCTTCTCCTATATATATACATTACCTTAATTTCTTTCATGCAGGTAATATCAAATGACCATTCTAAAAAAATTTGATTTGAGAAAATTTAACGAGGAATAAGACGGTATTTTAAAAAATTTTTATTTTGGCCTTGAGCAGTAAAATGACTTTAAATATTTTAATTGTTTATAATAATGTAACAATCATAATAATAATGTATCATACGTAAATAAAAATAATTCTTTTATCTTGAAAATGAGACCAATTTAGACTTTGTAGGATGAATAGAAGTGGAGTTATCGCGACTTTAAGAAGTGCATCATCAAGTTTTCAAAACTTTAAATCTTTCGTATTTCAAAAATATTGAGATAAAAAAAATTGTCAAAATACGGTTTATTTTATAAGAAATAAGTAAAAAAATTGTGAAGCGAATAAAAAAATGTTACCTTGTATTAGATGTTCGATTTGTAAAAGAATATATATCTGTAATAATAATAGTTTTATAAATATTAAGAATAAAAACATTGTTGTTTTTCAAATATCAATTTGCTTGTACGAAATTTAATTAAATCAAAATATACACTTGTATATACATACATATTATAAGATAAAGGAATTTTTGTACTATTTAGTCTAGAACATTGAAATTGGTTAATTTGACTGATTTCGTAAATGTTCGAACATTAATTATATTGCTATAATAAATCATCTTCGCAACAGGAGCAGCACTCGCTGAACTCCTCATCGCTGTTGCTGTCTAGTTCTGATTCCAAATGCATCATTTCCGAAGATATTGATTGATAGGCCTCATCTAAAGATCTAACATTGCAATTACATAATTCATGCTTGCGTTTTTCTTCGCAATCGTATCTGCAAATATTAATTTGCTTGCATGCAGAAGAAGTCGTACACTCATCGCATGTTTTACTGGGATCACACGGCACTGAAGATTGTGTTAATTGTTTGGATGCTTGAAGTACATCTGAAAATTTGTGATTATTTATGACTGAATATTAATTTAATTATGCAAAACAGATTTACTTTATGTAAAAAAAAAATAAATTTTTTTGTTACATTAAATATTTCTAATAAAATTTGAAAGAAAATAGGTCGATACATCAGTCTATAACATGTCTGTTTTCAAAGCAATGCTAAATAAAGACTCGCTAAATAAAGGAGATTTTGTTAAACCTGGAGATTTAGATTTGAATACAGCTGAAGAAACTCGTCGGCAAGATTTGCAACAAATACAATCACGCGATTTATTCGCGGTTGTACGTGATACGCGATGGTCCAATGGAACACAGCATGAAAGCGATGGACATAATTTTTCGCAGGTTTGAACTGATGCCTTTTCGTAAGCAGTTAACGTTATCGACGTTGCACATGAGCAGCAAGTCTTCTAAAAAGTAGGAAATATATATAGAACAGGAAGTATATAATATAAATATTGTCTATTCCTAATACTCACTCGTTTCCTATTTTCAAATTGACATTGACATTTTTTCTTCGTCATATATTTATTACGTGTGTAATCTTCTAATAAACCGAATAACTTTTTATCAGTTTCCTTCAATTCTATTTTTTCACTGTCACGCTGACATTTCTTGCAGCACAGCAACTTGCTCATTTGTCGCCTGTACATGAATTCTTTACTTTCAAGCTCCCTGATGTAATTTTTTAATTTCAATTCTTCTTCAGCGAATTGACGAATTTTTTTCAGACATATCAGATCTTCGGAATGAATGGAATGTAGGCTAGGTGTTTTGCGTTTCTGTATCTTATTGCGCAATTCTGCCAATTTTTCTTCCATTTCTTTATTAGCCAGCTCTAAGGATTCCAGTTCCATGTCAGTTTCCTCCAGTTTCACATCCGCATCTATGATCTTATCCTGCATTAATGGAAACTAGATTGTGAATTCCTATCGCATGAATTATTACTGTAATACTGCTTTACTTTTCGATTTTTAAGGGAGAAATCGCTCACAAAAAATTTTTTTAATTAAAAAAAATTCACATTCTTAAAATATACACATTGAAAAATATTTTTGCAAAGTTTTAAAAAGATACTTAAAAAGGATAAAAAAATGATAAATGATAGCTTGAAATATTATTGCGAATGTTACAAAGACCGGTTTCACTTTTTCATATCTAGTACTTGGAACTGATTGACTTGGACTTTTTTTGTTTGAGCAAATGTTTTTTAAACAGTCTACATATACATAGTGTATCTTAAGTATGTTAAAAGATTTTAAGGAGTGATTATTCACACAAATTCAAAACTGAAACTTCATATTGATGATTTTAGAAACGGTTCAAATTTAAAGGAGTCAAAGTTACAAGGAGTCAAACTTGGAAAAAAATTTCATTTTTTCCAGAAATTTAAAAAAATCATTTGAGTTATTTTGATAACTAATAATATGTTTAAATAGGCATGAAAATTTATCTTTTGGAACTATATTATCTTTTTATTCAATCAAGAGTGGACCTAAAGAGTAATCAATTACAATAAACTGAAAAACGCAAAATTAAACACTAAACCAAATGTTGAAAGTGTAACTGATAATTAAATAAAACGACTTTGTTCATTTGCAATCTACGAATTCTAATTTATTTTTTTCTCGAAAATGGCTTATTCTATTAAAATGTTAAACAGAATTTTTTTCTGCTAATAGTTGACGAGATATTTTACATTTTACATCTGGCACATATTGACATAAAATGTTAAATAATTCGTAAACTATTAACTTTTTGATAATCGTACTTTAATATTTTTATGAACAGAATAATGAGATAAATTAGTTAATGTAAAGAAAAACACATAGTTGCTTTAAAAAATTATGTATGCAAAATGGATAATTTTTTAATTAAGCAATTATTATTTAATTCTTCAGAGCATAATACGAAAAAACAAATGAATACTAATTATTTATAATAAGAAAGAAATAAATATGAATTAATTAATTAATATAAATATATATAAAAAGATAAAATAAATAAATAAATAAAATAAAT